GCAACTCATCTCCACATTACATTACAAATTACACATGACTTTGCGCAATGTAATACCAGGGTTGCCAACTCTCACGCATCTGGCGTGTGACACACGCTTTCTCTCACGCTGCCCAAACTATTCTCACGCCAAAAACAAGAATACCGAAGACTAGAAACGGTTTTGAAAACTTTTGTCACGTAGTGATCGTCTTCTCAATAGAACATCTTTGCTAATGTCTTCTGGCAAATCAGAATCACGATTACGGCGTGGTGTTGTTGCAGGAAGTCCCAACGGAGAATACTTTTGTGGTAGTACATCTCTATACATCGATACAACATTACGTGTTGATAGAAATCAACACGTAATGAAATAAGACCCCACGGTTTGATGATTGATAGGTGTGTGGGCTGTCTTTCATTTTGACACACAGAACAATGGGGGCTATCCACCCTTATCCACAATGTAAATTAATTCACACACCCTCTTCTCTCTGTGAGGAGCAGCAGGTTCAGCTTTCAGAACAAAGTAACAAAAAACTAAAATGGCATTCATTTTTTTAAATATGTCGTGTAGTAATAGATTTATTTATTTTTCTTCTCAAGAGAGTACCAGAATGTGTATTTTATGTTAGTATTTAAAAAAAAAATAATTCCCCCAGACCCCCCTGCAGGGGTTGGGTTTTCAGCATGTCAACTCTTTCACCTGTGGGGAAATTGCAGGATTGGCTCCAGGTCGCCCTTTTTATTTACTACAAGACAAATGTGCCTTTTGTATTTGTATTTGTATTTCATACAGTTCAATTTGGATTGAGACAGGGAAATCATCTAAACCTCACGCGTGACGTTTCACTGTCAGGGGGGAGCGTGTATGTAATTACATTGCAAATACTGACTTGAGCCCCACCACTGTATGGGTTAGCCCTACCATAGATTACCCAACAAAAATACTCTGGAGCCGCAACTGCGGACCCGTATTGCGCATCCGCAGATCTAAGATCCAGTAGAAATGATAAAAAAGTAGAAGTCTGCTGCTTATTGTTCTACTAGGCCAAAATAGAGTCAAAGAGTATATGAGAGTGAGAGTGTGTTAATTAATATATTTGGCAGTTTGGAGTAAGTCTGTAGATTTGTTTGTGTGTGTGTGTTTCATGTATAGGCCTCTCACGATAATTAATTTTGTTGGATACATTTTCCCGGAAATTATTGCGATAAACGATAATATTGTCGGCACCGTTGTATGACCATTTTAGACCACTGACATAATGATAATATATAATAATAATTCAAGTACATCCTTTCAAACTGCTAGTCACATCCTCATGTAAATGGCAATTTATCGAGGTCAGAAAAGTTATCGAGTTCATTTTTATTTATCGTACGATAAGTCAATTAATTGCTTATCGCGACAGGCACACACTAAAACAGTGGAAACAAACATGTTTGACTTTCATTAGTGAATGAAACTGTGTGCCCTTTATAGTCTGTGTCCATTATTGTGTATTTGTATATATTGTATATATATCCTATATGCTAAGGTCCCGCTGCTGACACGATAGCAGTCATTTCGTGCGCATATGTGTAATTAAACCGAATTAAACCCATGATATCAAAATCTCACTCCAGCAGGTACCCAAAGTTGGCAACCCTGGTAATACTAGTGAGAGTCATACCAGCAAAAGCCTCCACACCAGCCTTGACACATTTGAGTCACACCCTACGTAACGTTTATACATACTTTTAATACAAAAATGATCAGCATAAATGATTGAATATACCTGGTCCTTACAGTGGCGTTTTCTCCTGGAGGCCAAGGGAAGCCAGGCTTCCCCTGTTTTTTCGGATTGTAGTTATAATTTTAATAAATAAATAAAAACTCTTTGTTTAGTTTCGGTCATTCGTCTTTGCTGTGTGTTGTTGCCGGCCCATCTCTCCCCCATTCTCATTAGGCGCGTTCACACCAAGTACTTTGCCGTATTTAGTGCCGGCACTCAGTGCCCCGGCACTTATTACCCCAGGGCATTTAGTACAGATCGCGTTCACACCGAAGTACTTTTCCCTGAGGGAAGATTACGCAAATGAGCCGCTGACGTCACTTCGTCTTCTGCTTTGGGTTTACTGGCAGGCCGCAAACAACTTCACGGCGTATACTGCCACCCGGAGTCCCCGGCCGGAAGTCCCCGGAGTTGGGGACTGGCTTCAGTAGAAGCTGCTGGGACTCCCAGCAGCTTCTACTGAAGCCTTCCGAGTAAATCACCAGAACGCCGACACCTCCTCATCTCCACCGCTCCCATGTTTTATTTTGTGCTGCCATAAGTTAGTCGTTAGTATTGGCTTCCCCTATTTTTTTCCCCACGCCACGCTACTGGGTCCTTACCTTTTTGAAATAATGTAGGCTCCCCTTCCAGACACAGGTTGTTCTCCGCCATGAGATGAAGAAAAAAGGCGCACTAAAACCGGAAGTGTAATTAACTCCAACTAGAGTGCATGCAATCAACTCCCTTAAAGAACACCGGCCTTAGAGCTTTTTCAGCACTGCAAGTGTTACAAGAACACCCAAATCAACACTTATCAACTCAAAATAATTGACACTGAAGAATCTACACTATTTCACACCACAGAATTTGCTGTGATGTTTTGCTTACAAACAAGAAAAAGGGAAGCTGGACTCTAGATGTGAGCAAGGGGTTTTCATTGGCTATGATAAAAACAGCCCAGCTTATCTGGTGTATTACCCAGAAACAGAGAGGGTGCAAAAGCACAGGTTGGTGAAATTCACAACCAAAAGCGCAAAAGAAAAGGAAACACAAACATCTGAATCACACATAGAATGTGGTCATGATGATGCACACTCCAGGGCCATAGGCAATGATATAAATGTGGAAAATGTATCAAGTCATGGTATTCAGATTTGTGTGCCTGAGACTTTACTTGAAGAGACTGAATGTACACAGCCGAGTAAAGCCACAGAGACTGTAACCAAAAGGTATCCACAAAGAAACAAAAGGAAGCCAACTCATCTACAGGATTTTGAGACTGAGGATGCAGAGGACAAATCACAAACATGCATGGACTTTTGCTACAGAGTAGTGTTGATTTCGTCAACTATTTTTTTATTTTGTTTTAGTCTTAGTCCTGTGTTAAATTTCCTTTTTAGTTTTAGTCATATTTAGTCACCTTCATCCTGTTTTTATTTGGTCAAGTTTTAGTCGCCTAAAAGTCTGAGCATTTTAGTCTTATTTTAGTCGACTAAAACAGTAAATATTTTAGTCAAGATTTAGTCGACTAAAAGTCTGAGCATTTTAGTCTTATTTTAGTAAAAGAAAACAAATTATTTTAGTCTACTTCTTGTCAATGAAAACTGTTGAGTCTTTTTTAGTCATCAGATTATATAGAACATTTCAGTCAAACTAGTCTAGCCAAAACCAATAATTTGTCATTTTAGTCAAACTTATTTCACAATAAGATTATATCTTGTCCTTATTTGATGAAAAACACAGGTTGAATGATTAAGAATGCAGCTTTGCAGAGAGTATCTGGTCAGGTTTGTGGTGTTTTTACCAGCTGTGTTGTGGCCACATTGCTTCCCTTCTGATAAAACAATGCATTCGCTTTTTTTCTCCGCCTCATTGTAGCGAAAATGGGCCCAAATATCACATCGTTTCTTTCTCCCAAGCAGTGGTGGCTTTAGACTTTTTCGTTGTCAGTCATTTTGACTACAAAGTAGTCGAAGTACAACTTCCTACAACTTCCTACAGGTTCAACCTCCACCGGCTGCGGCTGCAGCTGGACCCTTCTCCTATTATGGCTGCGTTTCACTTCTCTTATTTTTCATTTCCTCGCTCCTCGGTCTCGGTCTCACCGGAAGTTGATTTGTCTGCGCCATCTTGAGTAGCGTCCCAATGGCCTTATTTTTGCCGGAGGACCGAGGATCGAGGAGCGAGGAGCGATAATGGAGGAGCTATAATCGAGGAACCACCAGACCATCCTTCGATGAAATCCTCAGACACTCGCCCCGCCCCCTTACTGTGTATCGCTCACTGATTGGACGATGCAGTGCATGCACTGATCTGATGCTTCTTGACATGAGAGCAGTTTCCCAGCGGAGTGAAGAAAATACATGAACCTCACGGGAGTCACTCCTCAGTTCATACAGTGTTTTGTTTCAATGAATGCATCATTCAGTTACAAATATGTGATATATCTGAACAACAAAGTGGTCAAAAATCATTTTATTCATTTTTTGGAAACATTTTCATGATCGCTTTTTTCGTTTTACATTTTCATTTATTGTCATTTCCATTCAGTCAGTCATTAAGTGCTATTTAAAATGTTAATTTGCTACATATCCACACAAACAAACAAAGTGTGCAATCCAATGAATGTTAATCTAACTGGGTTTTGATAGTTAACATAGGCCTACTGTATCTCTTTTTCTTCTCTCAATTATTTTATTTCTATTGTGCACTCTAATCAATATTAATCTAACTATTGTTCGTTTATACATTGTAAGAATGGCGTTTATCTTTTTTGAGAATGAGTTCTTATTTTATTTAATGTATTTGGTTCTACAACAGATGATACAAATGTTTGTGTCAGTAAATGTGTACTAACAGAGGCGGGGGTGTTTGTGAAAATAACGGGGACAGAGCTGCTGTCAGACGATCAGCTGTGCGGCGTCATCACAAACGGACGTCGCTTCACGTGACGCTCCGGAGGAAAGGACGTCCCATTGCTCTTAAAACTCATTTCCCTGCTTCTCGTGGTTTCCTTGCGTCTCTCCATGCTTCCCTGGTGGGAGGGACTAGTCGCAGGGAAACGACGCAAGTGAGGGACGCAACGAATCCATTTAACCGAAGTGAAACGCAGCCTATACATCCATGAGCTGGCTGCTGTCAGACGATCAGCTGTGCGGCGTCATCACAAACGGACGTCGCTTCACGTGACACTCCGGAGGAAAGGACGTCCCATTGCTCTTAAAACTAATTCCCCTGCTTCTTCTCCCTTCTCGTGGTTTCCTTGCGTCTCTCCATGCTTCCCTGGTGGGAGGGTCTAATGCGCAAGGAAAAGACGCAAGTGAGGGACGGAAGGATTGCATTTAAGAGAAGTGAGATGCAGCCACAGTCACAATTGTGCAGCGGCAAGCAGAAGTAAAAGCTTCAAACATTGAATAACAGCAGAAGAAGAAGCGACATTGTTCCTCTGCGTGTGAAAGATGTCCAGACTTCAGAGTCTAAAGCAGTATATCAACCAGCGGCTCACTGCGGCTGTCGAGGACATATTTGAGCACTTTGAAAGAACAATAACCGAGTATGAAGAAGAGATGGACCTCCGACACCGCAAACTGTGCGAGTTGGTTTCAAGACCTGCAATACACCTACAGACAGAAGCAGGTACGTTTATGTCTCCTGTTGGAAACATGTTAAGTGATAATGCTCTCCGTGCTAAGCTAACGTTAGCATAACCCCCCCACACACAGCCTGTTAGCAGCTATGTCCGGCTTGAACCATATTACATATTCTATCTGTGGTAAGATAACATTAGCTACACCCTCCAAACACAGCCTATAAGGAGATAGCTTCTCCTTCCACATACAGCCTGTTAGCAGCTAGCTCATACCGGAAGCATGTTTACTACCAATGATATCCGTGCTAACTTACGTTAGCTAAACCCTCCACACAGCCCGTTGGCAGCTAGCTTGTGATGGAAAAATGTTGACGGCTACTGCTGTCCGTGCTGAGCTAACGTTAGCTACATTCTCCATACACAGCTTTAGCTAAAGGGGATCACTGTCTGAGTTTTTAAAGAACAGACCAACATGAACCCAAATTCATTTATAAAGAGCTAGCAGGTTTCAAGCTAGCAGCATGTTCTGTAATGTTATTACACGTGCACGAGTAGAACTGACTACTGTGTAGGTGTAGCGTTTTAAAAGTTGTAAATTATGTTAAACTAAGGGTATTTTCTCGATTTTTAGATGTCTCCTTAAATCAAATTTTAAATGTATTAGTTATAACATGGCACCACATTTGTTACATATCAAAATGTTCAGAACAATCTGGTCTTGCTAGAAATGCAAGTCACTCAACTTAGAGCACTGTGTGATGAGATAATTAGCTTTTAAAGCTGAACATTTGACATCCGATTTTTGGAAATATTCAAAACTCTTGTGAAAACACAAATGTACTCATGTCATCCAATTTTTTTTTTGGTGTTTTAGATTTGGTTACCAAAGTCTTAGGATCACAAAAGTAGTGAAATATTTGAATTACACTGTATATAATGTGTAATTCATGTCTAAAATTTAAAAAACATTATTCGAATTTTGAGTAAAATAGGTATTTATCACTCTACTTTCACCACAGCAGGGACTGAGATACATTAGGACTGAATAATGACTTCATATTACATACCAAGGTTCATGTGATGTGTACAAATACAAATTGAGCATTCAAACTTTTTTTTCAACCAACAATTTATTATAAATGTTTTTTTCAACCAACTATTTATACAAATATAAGAAACTGGAAAATCTCTCTATTTACAATATTGAACATCAGAACTTTCAACCAACTATTCATTATAAATGTAAAGACAGTGTCAAGGTCTTTATCTGTCTTCCAAGACAGTGGGTCTGGCTGCTGTGTAGGTGGGGGTGATGGTGCATGGGCTGCTGTGTAGGTGGGGGGTACGTGTGCTCTACGAGACCTCCACGAGACATTGAAATAAAGTTCAATTAAATTGTTGCTCAAGCACAAATAACAATGCACAACTAAAAAGAAAGTTTGTGAGGTGGTCTCTCTTTCTCTTTCTCTCTCTCTCTCTCTCTCTCTCTCTCTCTCTCTCTCTCTCTCTCTCTCTCTAGCTCTCTCATCTCGGTCTCCTCTCTCCGTAGCTCTCTCTCTCTCTCTCTCTCTTCTCTCTCTCTCATTCAAAAACAGGTATTTCCAGTTACTTACATCCAGTATAAAACCACATACACACATATAATACATCTATGACAAAGTCTAATGTGTACAGAAACAGTATGATGATGATTTCTTGTCCCAAGAAAAAATTAATGACTATCCATAAAAAAAAAGATCAATAAACCTATTGTTCATTTTCACCGGTATTCCACACAAATTGCAAGTACACTATTACTGTAATATTTACACTTACCCATGTCCAAATGGATCCTTGTTGTCCCTGTATTGTTCTTCTTCAGAAGAGTAGAAGACTTCATGTTCTGAGGCTCTATCTTCACTGCTGCTAGCGAAAAACATCTCTAGCGAAGTCGGCAACTGTAAAGTTTTTTTTTGCCATTTTCTCAGTCTCTCTCTCTCTCCTCACATGCCCCTTTCACACCTTTTTCCTGTTCACACCGCAGCGGCGGCGTGTCATAGCTCCGGAATGCGGTTCACTTCCAGCTCCAAAAAATTGTCGGTCCAGAGGCAAGAGCTTCGGAGCTATGACGCGGCGTCGCTTACGTCGAGGCGTGCAGGAAACCTTACTTTGACCATCCGTTCGCTGTTATTGATCATTGTGGAGATACATGGGCTGTACAGGTTGTCATGTCCGACTATCACAAGTAGAATCATAATGAAAAATACGCCGGTAAAATGTGCCTGTAGAAAACGGCTTAGCAAGTAGTCAGTTTAGCTTCGGTTGCTATGCTAACATCACCCATGTTATACCAGAGAAACTTTCATAACAGCGTTGTGATGCCAAACAGCGTCAATTCAGACTGACACACATTCACTTAAGGGGAACTGGGGATATGTATCAGCTGCTTGTGTGACAGTCAGACAGTGAATACTTTAGAGCCGTGTGAGCTAACCCGGAGCTAACGGGAGAATAAACTCCCGTGGAAGAGCAGCCAGCACTGCAGCGGTCGGTAAATGCCGCTGAAACACATTAATAAACAATGAACCACGGCACTCTGGAGAAAAGTATAAGGTTGGAGAAGTCGTTATTTAATTTAATCTGACTTCGTATGATTAAAAGCAACACGATCATCGACCCGACACAGTCCCCGGCCCGTTGTTGTTGTGGGAGAAAATCAGCGACGTAAACTGTGACGTCATGACGCAGCAGCGGCAGCTCTGGGCAGTGTGAACAGAGCGGGAGCTGAAAAGGGAAACCGGAGCTGAACCAGAAAAGCTCTCGCTAGGAGCTAGAAAGGGAAAAGCGCTGGTGTGAAAGCCGCAACAGACGTAAACTGATGGGAGACACGTGGTTTATGTTTTTTTTCTTGGTGGTTAGATCCTTAGTGATTTCTCGAGTGTCCATTGGTAATTTCAGACCAACATGGCTGCCGGCCGAGATTTCCTTGACGGACACACCAATCCACCAATCCCACACAGTGTAACCACGAGTCAGGCTGCTTCGAGCAGCCCAATTGGCTGCTGTGCCCTGTTTACAGTCTCACAGGATTTACCTCTGGAAAGCTACACTTCCAGCGAATCCGCGGTTATCTGAATCATATTTCTACTCCTTATAATCGAAAATATATGATTTAATTATGTAAATTATGGGCACCTTGACGCGCCGGCGCGTCCACCGACTCCAGAGGGTTAATCATCTCCCAGCTCTACTTCAAGTATATTTTGATGCTAATACTTTACTGTACTTTTACCGAAATAAAGTTTAAAATATTATATTATTTAATATGACTTATTTTAGTAAGTAAATCATGTTTTTTTTTGTACTGCTGATGACAGGTAATACAGGTAATCTGTTGTCCCTTCTATATTCTTTCTGCAGTGAACTTTTTTGGACACATCTGTATTCTCGATATCTTCATTCTTATCACAGCCTTCAATATCGTGTGCACATGAAATATGTTAATTTACATCAAACCTTGTGAATTGTAATATGATTTTATGTATGACAAGGTACTTTGAATGAGCATACATTAGGCCTGTCACGATAATTTATTTTGTTGGACGATAAATTTTCCCGGAAATTATTGTGATAAACGATAATATTGTCGGCACCGTTGTAAGACCATTTTAGACCACTGACATAATGATAATCTATAATAATAGTAATTAAAGTACATCCTTTCAAACAGAACCTTTTATTGCACATTCAACATTGCAAATGAAATGTGAAATAATATTCAAATATATAAATTATATATAATAAATAAAAAAATTTAATTATAAAAAATTATTAATCACACACAACCAAAACAATCAATTAAATAGACTCAGGCTGGAAAACAGAGCTCTCTCTCATATATATATATCTATATCTATATCTATATCTATATATGTGTATATTTTTGTGTGTGTATATATGTGTGTATATGTATATTTTTGTGTGTGTGTGTGTTGTGTGTGTGTGTGTGTGTGTGTGTGTGGTGTATATATATTGTAACAGGACAGGGCAGATAAAGAGAAAAGTGGTAGTGCAGCAATCACGGACAGAGCAGTGTTCAAATCCAAAAAGAGGCTTTATTGCTAACAACTCAAAAATACCTTTAACTAAACAAAGGCTAACGTAGCCGGGCCGCTAACCGACTTACCAGCTTACAAAAATGTTTCCTCACGCTGGGAGCCTCCTGCTCCCTCCATGTGCCACACACAACTGAGCAAACTCTGTGTGCTTTGTCTCCCTTGAGGGAGTGATTAGCACCAGGTGTGAGGTCCTCCACACCTGGTCCCAATACTGCTAATTGGCAGCGGGTGGAGCCACCTATTGGGAATGTAGGTGCCTCCCACTACTCTGCCTCTCAGTCCCTTACACACCCCCCCCCTTCAGTTCTGGCCTAGGAGAGGTGACCATGGTCACAGGGCATCTCTACGGGACAGGGCATCTGCATTCCCATGCTTGGCTCCGGCTCTGTGGATGATAGAGAAGTTAAACTCCTGTAGTGAGACAAACCACCTTCCTACTTTAGCGTTGTGTCTTTTTTATTTGCCATCCAGATCAGTGGGGCATGATCAGTTACAGAGTGAAGTGACGTCCAAGAGGTAATACCGGGAGGCGCTCAAGCGCCATTTTATTGCTAGGCCTTCTTTCTCCACAGTAGCATACACTTGTTCCCTTGTGTTCAGCTTCCGGCTGATGTACATGACGGGGTGTTCCTCACCGTGAACCTCCTGGGATAGTACTGCTCCTATGCCCACCTCTGACGCATCCGTCTGCACAATCATCCCCCGGCTGAAGTCTGGGGTCACCAACACCGGCCGTGCGCAGAGAGCCCTCTTAAGTTCCTCAAAGGCGTGTTCAGCCTCTCCTGTCCACTTGACCATTAGCGGCTGTGAGTCTCTGGTCAGGTCTGTAAGGGGAGAGGCTACTGTGGAGAAGTTTGGGGATGAAACGGCAATAATAGGACGTCAGACCCAAGAATGTTTTCACCTGTTTCTTTGTTGACGGCCGTGGCCAGTCCTGGATCGCCTAACCTTCCTTTCTTGTGGTCATAACGTTGCCCCGCCCAATGGTGAAGCCCAGGTATTCGGCTTCCTCTAGTCCAAGCTTGCATTTTTCTTGGATTAGCTGTCAAGCCCCGCCCTGCGGAGAGATTCCAGCACTGCTGCAAGCCTTATGAGATGGCTATCCATGAGTCACTGTGGATAACAACGTCATCCAAATAGGCAGCTGCATACTCACGATGTGGCCTCAGAACCTTGTCCATCAGTCTCTGAACGTGGCTGGTGCTCCATGAAGCCCGAAGGGAAGCACAAGTGTACTGGTTACAGCCCTGTGGGGTGGCGAAGGCCGTCTCTCTCTTGAGGCAGCTTCAGTGGGACCTGCCAATACCCTTTCGTCAAGTCCAGAGTGCTGATATACCTGGGCTTCCCCAAGCCGATCAATTAGCTCATCTATCCTGGCATAGGATACGCATCAAACTTGGAGATTTCATTCAATTTTCTGAAATCATTACAAAACCTGTTGGTTTTGTCTGGCTTAGGAACCAGAACGACAGGGCTGGTCCACTCACTGTGAGATTCTTCAATCACCCCCATAGCCAGCATTTTTCTGCACTTCTTGCTCAATGGCCGCCCGTCTTGCCTCCGGCACCCGGTAGGGTCGCATCTTTACCTTTTGGCCAGGCTCTGTGTGGATTTGATGTTCCACCATCGTTGTGGCGTCCAGGTCGTAGTGAGAACACATCCAAACTCTGCTGAACCAGTTCCTTGGTTTTGCTGTAACTGAGCTTTGGATAGCCCTGGACCGTATTCAACTTCGGCCACCTCATGGTCTGGAGAAGGGGATACAAACAGGGAACAAGAACACAGCAGTGCCTCTCGGGCATACCATTTCTTTAACAGGTTAACATGGTATATTTGGGATGGTTTGCGACGGCCAGGTTGGCGTACCTTGTAGTTGACTGGTCCCACCTTCTCTGTCACTTCATAGGGACCTTGCCACGATGCCAGGAATCTGTGTTCGGTGGTGGGGACCAGGAGAAGCACTTTATCCCCGGGCAGGAACTCACGTGGTTGGGCACCTCTGTTATACACTTTCCTCTGGGCTTCTTGGGCTTGAGCCATGTGCTCTCTGACCATGGGCCAAACATCTTTCATATGCGTCTGCATCGTCTCTACATGCTCAATCAGGCTCCGATGGGGGCTTGGTTGCTCCTCCCAGGCTTCCTTCGCGATGTCGAGAAGTCCTCTGGGCTGTCGGCCATACAGCAGCTCGAAGGGGGAGAAACCGGTTGAAGCCTGTGGAACTTCCCTGATTGAAAACGGGACATAGGGCAGAAGCTGGTCCCAGTTACGACCATCCTTGTCAACAACCTTCTTTAACATGGATTTCAACGTCTTGTTAAAGCGTTCTACCAATCCGTCTGTCTGCGGATGGTAGACAGATGTACGAAGCTGCTTTACCTTGAAGAGCCTGCAGAGATCCTTCATTATCTTGGACATGAAGGGAGTGCCTTGGTCTGTTAGCATCTCTTAGGAATCCCAACTCGACTGAACAGGTGAAGCAGCTCCCTGTGCAATCACTCTCGTTGTCATGTCCTCAAGGGAATGGCCTCCGGGTACCTGGTTGCATAGTCAAGGATCACAAGAATATACTGATGTCCCCTGGCAGACTTCACCAGCGGCCCCACTAAGTCCATGGCAATGCGAGAAAACGGTACATCGATTATCGGTAGAGGTATTAGGGGACTTTTAAAGTGTAGCTTGGGACTCATCTTTTGACATTCAACACAGGTGCGACAATAATCCTCTATAGCCCTTACCACCCCTGGCCAGTGGAACCGGCTCCCAATCCGCTGCCTTGTCTTCTCAACCCTAGGTGGGGCCCCTAGGACATGGCTGTGAGCCAGATGCAACACTGTGGACACATATTGTTTTGGGACAACCAACAAGTCTCTTCGCTGACCTTCAACCTCTTTGGCATAGTATAACAGATTATTTTTTTATTAGGAAATGAGGACATGTAAGCTCACCCACTCCTGGAACTGGTTTTCCCTCTATTTCCGTAACATTGCTGCGTGCATGCAACAGATTGGGGTCTTCCATCTGGGCGGTCCCGAACTGGCCCTTCAAACTTGGAAGCAATGAGACTTCCCCCTCCTCATGACCTGTGCTTAGGTCTCCAGGGAAAGCAACAAAAGGGTTATCATTTGCCTCGTCTGCACTGGAAGATTGGTTGCCTCTCTGCTCCTCCGGCACAGCACACACAACGTTGGGGAACTGCTGAGGAGAAGTACCCTGGGTGGCAGTTTGTCCTCTCTCTCGTTTTCCTTGCACGCTTGTGCTTTTTGGACTCACCTCCTTCTGGTGCCGCAGGCGCTTGTATAGTGGGCAGTCTCGCCCCACCAAGACTGGGACTGGTAGGGAAGGAACCACCCCCACTTTCATCTCACAGCTGCCTTTAACTGTGGTAAGGTGGATGAGGCAAGTGGGGTATCATTTAGTGTCCCCATGGACACAGGAGACGGGCACAGTCTCTTCAGATGGCAAATGGTCGAGGAGGTGGGGTTGAATGAGGGTTACCACACTTCCTGAGTCCACTAGCGCCTCTGCATCTTTTCCATTTACTTTGACTGGTATCATTTGAGCCAGGGAGCTTTCCTGTACCCAGCAAGAGTCAAGAAGGTGGCAGGGCCTTGCACCAGATGAGTTGGCGGTCGGCATTAGCTCATCCTTCCCTGGGCAGTCCCGGGCAATATGGCCTGTCTCCCCACACTGGTAGCAACGCGGTTGGCCCTCTGGCAGGTAGGACTGTCGTCGCCTTACCTCTTCTGGTTCCCATCGCGGTTCTCGTGCCCGTCTAGTCCGTGATGCTTCCCCACTGACATTCCGGCCCCACTCGGTGTCTGGTCGTGTGGACTTAAGCAGGTCCGCTGTGACCACGTGGCTCTCCACTACGTTAACCAACTCATCCAGACCGGCTGGATTCTGCTGGCTTGTCATTTTCTTGATCTCATAGGGCAGAGACCGAATATATTTGTCCATCATTATCCTCTCTAAAACACTTAACTTTTCGGGGTTGCATGTCAGCCAGGCTCTGGTTACCCGGCCTAGGTCATACATCTGGGCCCTGGCTGACAACTCTGGCTTGTATTTCCATTCATGGAACCGCTGGGCTCTTGCTGCTAAGCTGTAGCCATACCTCGCCAGGATTTCCTTCTTCAAGACGACGTAATCCTTTGCTTGGTCCGGAGGGACGGTCGAAGTAAGCTTGCTGTGCCGGGGCCCAGGAGGAACGGTCCAACCAGATCAGCCCAGGAGTCCCCTTGGCCAGCCCTCTCTTTCAGCTGTGCGCTCAAAGGCCGTTAAGTAGGCCTCTATCTCATCACTCTCTGTCATTTTGGGGATGAATCGACCTGGGTTAGGCTGCATGGTTGCTTCCCTCTGGACAGGAGAGGCTGCTGTAAGGCATTTTTGGACCTCCATGTGGAGAAGTGCATTCTGTTTCTGCTGCTCCTGTATCATCTGCCGTTGCAGAGTCTGCTGCTCAGTAGAAATACGCACCAACTCCTTTAGTACATCCTCCATCTTGAAAACGTAAAAAAAAAGATTGTTCTGACTGCAACACCACCAATAGAGTCTTTATGCCCGCATTCTCCACCAGTGTAACAGGACAGGGCAGATAAAGAGAAAAGTGGTAGTGCAGCAATCACGACAGAGGCAGTGTTCAAATCCAAAAAGAGGCTTTATTGCTAACAAACTCAAAAATACCTTTAACTAAACAAAGGCTAACGTAGCCGGGCCGCTAACCGACTTACCAGCTTACAAAAATGTTTCCTCACGCTGGGAGCCTCCATGTGCCACACACAACTGAGCAACTCTGTGTGCTTTGTCTCCCTTGAGGGAGTGATTAGCACCAGGTGTGAGGTCTCCACATCTGGTCCCAATACTGCTAATTGGCAGCGGGTGGAGCCACCTATTGGGAATGTAGGTGCCTCCCACTACTCTGCCTCTCAGTCCCTTACAATATATATATATATGTGTATATATATAACATGTATGTGTGTATATAATATATATATATATGTATGTGTATATATATATATGTATGTGTGTATATATGTATATGTAATATATATATATATATATATATATATATATATATATATATATATATATATATATATATATATATATATATATATATATATATATCTCATATAACATTACATGTTATCAATGATATGCAGCGTAGTTTGTGACAGACATGAGGATGTAATTTTGAAACTGTGCCTGTTGTGTGGATTTTAATAGGCCCGTCAACTTATTCCCATTAGCTTTATTATTGCTGGTCATAGGTCAAACTTGACCCTAGGCTGGCAGGCCCGACCAACCTTCAGGCCCCTGGGAAATGTCCCGGTGCTCCCGGTGGCCATTTCGCCCCTACCTGAAAGGATATGAAAGCTTTTGTACAGAAGTATAAAAATGTCCTCTGTAACTGTCATACTGTAATAGATTATACAACCAAAGTATTATTGCACATGCATTATTGTTAAAGAATGAATTAGTAGTTTGTTTAGGTGGAGCTGATTTAGAACTATTCAAACTAATGATTAATGTATACGTTTTAACATGTAAAGATCTGTGAGACGTCAGTCTATATTTCACTCTCATATCACTTTCCCTCTGCATGTTTCCTGTTTGCTGCAGATGTCCAGCAGCTGGTTAATGAAGACGTTCCCCCTGAGCAGCAGGAAGGCCAGGAAAACCCAGAGCCCCCCCCACACATAAAACAGGAACAGGAGGAACTCTGGAGCAGTCAGGAGGGAGAGCAGCTTCAAGGGCTGAATGAAGCAGATGTCACCAAGTTCACCTTCACTCCTGTCCCTGTGAAGAGTGAGCATGATGAAGAGAAACCTCAGTCCTCACAGCCTCATCAAAGACAAACTGAACACATGGAAGCAGAAGCTGATGGAGAGGAATGTGGAGGACCAGAACCAGCCAGGGACTCAGATCCAGAGAGACATTTACTACCAGAGACTGAGGACAAGAAACCATTTGGATGTGCAGAGTGTGGGAAAGATTGGAAAGGAACACATCTGAATACACACATGAGAACTCACACAGGAGAGAAACCATTCAGCTGCGCGTTCTGTGAGAAATCCTTTACACAGAGCGGAAGTTTACAGAAACACATTAGAATTCACACTGGAGAGAAACCATACAATTGCTCAGTATGCGGTAAAGCTTTCATTGAAAGTGGAAATCTGACAAGACACATGATAACTCACACAGGAGAGAAACCCTTCAGCTGCTCAGTTTGTGCGAAAACCTACAGAAGCAAGGCTGACCTCAGGAGACACATGAGAACTCACACAGGAGAGACTCTCTTTAGCTGCTCATTTTGTAACCGCAAATTTCCCTGGCGTTATCAGGTCAATACACATAAATGTGTTGGTCGTCAGTCCTCACAGCTTCATCAGACTCAGAGTGAGGAGAACTGAGAGGCAGAGCCAGGAGCTGGAGACTCTTCAAGGGTTCACATATCCATGGAAAGTCTGCAAAATGTTTGAAATGCTAAAGTTCCATACCGTTTTCTGTTTAATTAATTGTTACAGTATTCTTTGTTGGATAACCTTCCATGCAGTGTAACATGTTCCATACATTACTGATCATTTATTTCAGTAGCTGTTGTCATGACGTTGCACTAAAATACTTTGACGATCAATGTTTGTTTACCGTCTTTTACATTTCATTGTTTTTTCCTCTGCGCTCGTACACAATCCATCGCTTTTCTACTGTTGTTTTTATTGATTCTCAGTGGAGTGTGATGCTATAAAGAAAATATTATTATTAAATATTTGTTTTGGTGAAGAAGCATACGGACATGTATGAGCCTGCATGTGTACATAGCCTGCCACCCTTGAAAGCCAGTGCCAGCGTAATTCACACACTGTCTACATGTTTGTGTTAGCATTGTTTTTAGACTTGCATCCAGAAATGTGTTAATAATCAAATGCATTACAAATATACTGATTGTTTGTACTGATGTATGCCTTAAAGCAGGGGTCTCCAACCTTTTTTAGGATGAGAGCTACTTTCAAAAAATAAAACAAGTCGTGAGCTACTTTTACTCCCCTTTTTTATTTATTTTTTGCAGTGTATATATTTAGCACATTTTAAAGGGCCCATGTCATGGCCATTTCCACTGATCATAATTCCATTGTTGAGGTCTACTAGAATAGATTATACTGTGCATTTTTCCAAACTCACATTGGTTTCTCATACAGCATCTCTGTAAACTACGTGTATTCACTGAATTTCACTCTGCCTTTAACGGCTCGTTGTAGCTCCAATAGCTCCAGCCCCCCACCCTCCCCTGTGAGCACAGTGTGCTCTGATTGGTCGGGACGTTGTGAATCGCGCTGAGCTCCGTGGAGGTGTTGTTTCCTTGTTTAGGATACATAGCGAAAACACAGCCAAACTCATCCTGAGCACACACAAAGTCACAGCCGAAGTAAAAACAATAAGTGTGGCTTGATATTGAGTAAGAAAAAGGTTGATAAACGCTGTGAGAATGGGTCTGCAGAGAGAATTTCGCCGCGATCCAACTGTCTGTATCAGCCTGCAGCCAGGGAGGAGAAATCAGCAGAGCTGCCTGTTGTGAGGAAGTCCGTGGATTGGTCAATTTGGACCAATCAGCGGGGGCTTAACGTAACGGCTCCACCGACGTAACGTAACGGCTCCACGGATTGGTTCATTTCGTTCCGGGTACGGCATGACATTCATGCCGTTCCCGGAGAATCAAATGGACAATGACGTATCTCCAACGAGGGCGTTTTGGGGACGGTATTTTCTGTGTTAGAGTTTTACTCGCTACAGGGTGTGTACTTTGAGGGTTTTGACTCTGCACACCGTTACATGCATAAAAACCTTCATAACACACAAGGGGACGGGTAATAACCGGAAAAGCATGACACCTCTCCTTTAAGTCAAAAATGGAAAGTGAGTTTACACAACTACGCAAGGAAATGGAACAGTTAAATGATTCTGTTCAAGCTTTAATGTCCACAGAGGAGGAGAAAGAGGTGGAAAGGGATCAGGATGAATGGTACAACCCCCAAAGCAGCTGCCTGGAAGAGTTTACTCAGGAGGTCTTAAACTGGATCGCTGATGCTCCTGTGTCCAATGTGGACCAGACCAAAATAAAAGGACATATGAGTGTTGCACCTCAGGACAGTATTTCAAACGTAAAGAGTGTTCATTCACAAAGTTCAAGGAGATTTTCTCGGTCTTCTATCACATCTGCTAAAATAAATTGGAAATAGTCGAAATGCAGAATTGTTTAGCACGAGCTGCAAGGCTGACTCAGAAGCAAGCACTGGAAAGGGAGGAAGCTGGTTTGAAGGCAAGAAAGGAACAGCTGGAACTTGAAACAGATATTGCAGCAAACACTGCGAAATTAAGTGTAATCAAAGGAATGGAGGGTTCTCATGCAGGCATGTACCAAGCAGGAGACAGAATGAATGAATATTGGGATAACTCACTGTTTGTGAGTACAGCATTAGAGCAAGAAAATGCTCATTTGAATGCCAACAATCATAAACCAAACATCAATAAAACTGCAAATGCCGTTAATAGTGAAACACAATTCATACCACAACGTCCCGAAAGTTCAACTTCATCTAGCACGTCTTCTAGCACAGGAGAGGGCAATATGAATTACTTAATAAGCATCATGGAAAAACAGACCATAATAACAGAAACAATGGTAAAGCAACAGAAACTTTCTTCATTACCCCCGCTCAACATTCCTACCTTCAACGGAAACCCTTTGGATTATCTGTCCTTCATAAGAGCATTTGAGCATGGTATTGAAGAGAAAACAGAAATCAGTAAGGACAGGCTTTACTTTTTGGAGCAATGCACTATTGGCCAACCAAGAGAGCTTGTGCGCAGTTGCCAATATATGCAATCTGACAAAGGATACACGGAAGCGAAAAGGTTGTTGAAGCATCATTATGGAGATGAATATCTTATCGCGACAGCCTACATCGACAAGGCTCTCAATTGGCCATCTATTAAACCTGAGGATCCACAATCTTTAAAAGCCTTTGCCGTGTTTCTTAATGGATGTCTCAATACAATGGATAGTGTGGAATACATGGAGGAAATGGATCACCCAATCAACATGTGAGCTGTTCTTTCTAAACTCCCATACAAGCTGAGAGAAAACTGGAGGGCTAAAGCTTGCGATATACAAGATAGAAACAACAGAAGAGTTCAGTTTAAAGATCTAGTGAAGTTTGTCGACCATCATGCTAGAATCCTTTCTCATCCAGTGTTCGGAAACTTAAAGGAAATTCCAAATACATCAGCTAAAACAAGCTACACATTCGTTCCTGCTACTCCCAACACAAGGTTCAAACCGAGATCTCCAGAGTTATATAAAAGTGGTTTCGCCACTAGTGTATCCCCAATACTTCAGAAAGAAAACAGTAACCGACACAGTGACACATCCCAATCAAACCGATGCATCTACTGTAAAGGAGAACATAATCTTTCTGCTTGCAATCAGATTCTCAAAAACACCCACAAAGAGAAGTTGGAATTCCTCAGAGGCAAAGGACTTTGCTTTGGATGTTTGGAAAAGGGCCACATGAGTAAAGGATGCAAACAAAGACATACCTGCAAAGAGTGCAATCTCACACACCCCACTCTTTTGCATTTCAGTAATATAGAGTCAAGCAAAGGAAAGGTAAAGACTGTTGCAAATGCTTTAGTGGATATGGATAAAGATGATTCACGGGAGGAGGATATTGGGGCCGGTGAGCCTGAAGGCACCCTGGCTATCGTTCCTGTGAAGGTGAAAACAAAAAAGGGTAATACCATCATAACAACATACGCCTTTCTGGACCCAGGTAGTACGGCTACCTTTTGCACAGAGTCCATTCTACAGCAGCTTCAAGTGACTGGACGCAACACGGAGATACTCCTACGAACAATGAATAGAGAGGAGTCAGCTAAAACATCTGTTGCATGTGACCTTGAAATATGTGGTCTTGAAAGTAACCAGTATGTAGCACTTCCACCTGTTCATTCCCAAAACAAAATACCAGTACTCTCAGGAGGACGTGGAACAATGGGAATACCTGAAAGAGGTCAATATTAGGGCTGTCAGTCGATTAAAATGATTGTCCATAGTTAATCGCGATTAATCGCAAATTAATCGCACATTTTTTATCTGTTCTAAATGTACCTTAGAGGGATATTTTTCAAGTTTGTAATACTCTTATCAACATATGAGTGGACAAATATGCTTTATATGTTTGTTTATTATCATTTGAACAATGACAAATATTCTCATGAATATTACACACACAACAACCTCTGAACATTACAAATATTCGCCTCAATTCAACCTAGAACCTCTCTCATACAATACTGTGTGTGTGTGTGTGTGTGTGTGTGTGTGTGTGGGGTGTGTGTGTGTGTGTGTGTGTGTGTGTGTGTGTGTGTGTGTGTGTGTGTGTGTGTGTGTGTGTGTGTGTGTGTGGCTATGTGCAGCTCAAGGCATATATGCTCGAACGGGAGCTGCCTGGACGCTGCAATCCTGTTGAGCGCACTGAGTGTGCTGACTTTTCGTACAATGTCCCACTGTCTGGCTACCTGCATAAAGTCAAGTGCTCGGCGCAGTTGTCGGCGAAATGTCGCTCCTCTGTTTTAATTGAAACAGCTCCTTATAATCCGTTAGCGCAGCTAGCTAGCACCAGATGCTAACAACAACAACACGTAAGGTGTGCCTCGCTCGCACCACACATACACACACCCTCCCGGTCCTCCCGATGGCCAGTCCGGGCCTGCCGGTGAGCGTGGGAAGTGTGGTCTGCGACAAGCGGGGTGGCAGGAGCGGGGCTGTCAGCATCAGCTTGTAGATGGTATTTTAAACTCGATGCCGCTCTGAAACTACGGGGCGGCACGAGGACAAAAAAATACACATTTTTGCGTTAACGCGTTATTAACGTGTTAACTTGACAGCCCTAGTAAATATACCACAAATTGATGGCAGAGGTTGGCTTGCATAATCGGGTGCAACGTGCCAAAAGCTCTAGAGCCATGCAAAGTCATAAACAGCCAAGGGAATGGCCCGTACGCTGTTAAGACCATTTTAGGTTGGACAAATAAATGGACCTCTAGGAAAGGTCAGATACGACTCGTTGGATTAAGCCAGTCGTTACAGCAAACAGAATTTCTGTTGTGGAAATCGAGGAATTGTTGAAGCAGCAAGTGAAGCTCGACTTTCCAGAACATCAACACAAGGAGCGTCTGGAAATGTCAAGAGAGGATCACAAGTTCATGGAAAGTGTCTCTAATTCTGTCAAGTTGGTAGACGGACACTACAGTATTGGGCTGCCCATTAAAGGAAAAAGGACTTGATTTCCCAATAATAGACGTGTTGCTGAACAAAGAACTTTGAACCTAAAAGAAAATTCCAACACAAACAACAAATTCTACAAGGAGTACAAAGAGTTCATGGCGGATGTTGTTGATAAAGGTTTTGCCATAAGAATGACACCTGAACAAAAAGACAAGGCAATTCAAAGCAAAAGGAGCTGGTATATTCCACACCACGGCGTGTGTACCATCCAAAAAAAAGCGTAAACTGAGGGTGGTTTTTGATTGCGGTGCAACTTACCAGGGCACATCTCTGAATGCACGTCTTCTCCAATGCCCAGATTTAACCAACAGTCTTATTGGTGTCCTTACAAGATTCCGGCAGAAGAACATTGCATTCATGGCAGATATTGAAGCCATGTTCCATCAGGTCAAGGTGCCAGAGGAAGACTCAGATCTTCTCACATTCTTGTGGTGGCCCGATGGAGATCTCAGTAGTGAGCTAGAAGAGTACCAAATGGTTGTACACATCTTTGGAGCAACCTCCTCGCCTAGTTGCGCCAACTTTGCCCTACAACAGTGTGCAAGAGACAATGTGGATGACTTTAGCCCAGAGCAGTCTCTTCGATGCTAAGACATTTTTATGTGGAAGATTGCCTAAAATCAATGGAAGACGAGAGGAAGGCAGTGATAATCGCTCACGGACTTAAAACCCTGTGCAGTAAGGGTGGTTTTAAG